GACTATTTCAAGGTATCGACAGAACAAACAATATAATATCACCGTCCGTTAGACGCCCCGTGACTTATTTAGAAAGGGATGTTACAGTATTTCAAGGTCCAGTAAGGAAAGGGCATATTAAATTATAGAAAAAGAATGTGTCAAGTCGGAATGCATTTATCTATGTAGAGCAATTCAGGTCGTATTCCGCACGACATGAAATATTGCTCATCTAACAAAAGAAGTGTAGTAAGACGCATTGAATGTTTATAATCCAATAGCTAAGGTATATATCATGTCATCGGGATCACACAAAAGAGATCGATATAAACATTAATTGGCATTAAGCTGTCAAGTGTTGCGTTGGCAGGGAATTATTCTGATTTCTATGGAATCTAAGCAGACAATTGGATTTATCCATAAATGTAAAATCTATTATTGTACGGCCCATTTGTAGGTATTTTAACTGTCGGCAATTATATATATGGTTTAATACAAACCAGTGGGAAACAAATCACGCCGTGACAGTTATTGGTTGATTGGATTTGACCTTCATTGAACAATTTGAATATAATTATCACACACTTCAAAAATTAATAAATATTTAAAAAACTCGTTGTCTACTGATTTTTAGAGGACTTTATATGACACAATTAAATATATTTATCTGCTCCCACTATAGTAAATAGACTATTAATACATTGTTTTTAAGGAGGTAAGTGGATTTTACCGTAGAAGTGGAAGTTGCTGTGGTCAACGGGAGGTAAGTGAGGTAACTTACCTCCTTAGGAAAAAGCGATTTCGAGTTATAAATGCAAATTTTATGAACAAATGAATAGAAATATTTGATGAACATTATATTTTATTAATTATTATGAATGAATATTTATAGTAATTGTACAGTTATTACATTTAGTAACATTTATAAAATCTGGATAATTATTCCTCTCGCGTTTACTAATTGTCACATTTTTCTCAAAATGACTTAAACTGTCAGCAACATAACTTTGTGCAATTGTGGCTGATTTCCACCCACCATGTCTCTTGATTGCTAATACAGCACGTCTTGTATTAGCCAGTAACGTTGCCGATGTTCTTCGGAATTAATCGTCTGTATATGTTTCAGGATGTTTTAGTTTCAAGGCTATTCTTGCCGACTGGTTGGTTGTAGCATCTACCTGCTTGATAGCGCATACAAATTTTGGAATTGTATCTCAACATATATTGTATGGACTGTAATGATTTTTATTTATTGTATATGTATTAAATAAGTAAAAGATGTACATATTAATACAGAAATTTACAAATTAACCCAATTATGTTTTGTGTTGCAGCAAAGTTTAATGTCTGTCGTATTTCACTAAAAACATAGTACGAATTTCTTCCGCATCATCTGGCCTACCTGCTCAATAAATCTTGCTATTGATATGAAAATTAACTGGGGTCAGTCATGTCACCTTCCTGGTTGAGAGAAACTTTATTTAAATAATAGCGCGCAGAGAGTGTACAATTACTATTTTTATATCAGTTTGTGGGTATTAAGTTAATTAGTTCTAAAAAATCCTAGAATCTCACTTACTATGAAAATTGTATTGATTCTTGTAAAATAACATTAAAGTGACAAGAGATGGTAACAAAAAATATATGATTTTAAGAAGATATTTAAAACATTTCTCTCGTACGTCGTAGCAATGTTTCTCAAAATCTTCCGATAGTTTATCTTATAATCTCTGTTATAGGAGTTTTATCCTTTAATTAATATTCATTATAGAATTAGATTATGAACATCTGTTTCAGCCATGAAGATGGCATAATTGAATATTTACAACTAATAAATTCCTTTATATATTAAACTATTTTAATGTCGTGCGTGGTATTATTTGGATGATCTGTGTAATATATGTAAAAAAAGTTATATAATATGAAATTTACAAGCATATTGCTAGTCTAAGAATTTTCAAATTATTAAAATTTCTTCTCACTTCCTGATTAAAAAAAATTTATTCGATTTTAAAATTCCATTCAAATTCAAACTGTAATAGCCACACCCACTTAAAAGATAGAATTACAAAAAATTTTTAGTCATCGTTTATTATTCAGTAATAAAAAAAATTCGATTTGTATTTTATATTTTGATGTTTATTAATTTTAATTAATATTAAAACTGTTTTAAGAGAATTAATAATTTTTTTAATGTTTATCTAATAGCTAAAGATTAAGCAAGGTAGTTGACATTGTGCAATATGCCCAAAAATTTAAGCTAGTTTGAAGGGAAGTTACTATTTCGCTGGTATCGTAAAATAATGTGTATAGTCACTAAGATTTTTTAAATTTGTACAGGGTGATTCACTATATTTTGACCCCCCTTTAACTTTCTTGTTTTGAGAGTTATAAAAAAATATGAAATATAAAATTTGCACGAGTTTTTATGAATTTTTCGGAAATTATAGTAGAGAAACAAATGAAGTCCAAACAAAATGGCCGCGGATGTTAACATGGTTAAGTTAAATGGAACACCCTGTATATTTTTACATATTTGGATAGAACGTTTTCTGTCGAGCATAGTCATGTAGGGTTCGTTGGGTCCATGTGTAACAATAAGCGAGATACTGTTAAAAAACGAAAAGAAGTTTTTTTTATTAAGAAAATAAAACATCTTGTAATTGTTAAACCTTTTTCAGGTATTTCTGCAGTTTGTATTATTATTTAATTAAAGTGGGTTACACAGAAGCAGAAAATTGAAATATTATAGGAATTAAAATAGAGCAAAGTTCTTCTCCATACTCTATTTTAATTCTAAATAATTTTATACTTCTGTGTAACTTATTTTGATTAAATAATAATACATACCCATAACAATGTTGTCAAGACATTACTCCCTGTCACTGTCAGGACCTACCATATAATGTCCATGAGTAATTAGACCTCTCACGGCCTAATTAGTTACAGAGATTTCGTTACATTACCTATACGCATTTTGGACCATATCAATGTGCGATATATCAAAATATATTATAACTAAATCTATAAATCCTTACGTAATTGGAAAAAGGCAGAAATTCCTGAAAGAGGTCTAACAATTACAAGATGTCTTATTTTCTTAATAAAAAACCTTCTTTTCGATTTTTAATAGTATCTTGCTTATTGTTACAAATGGACCCAACAAACCCTATATGGCTATGCTCGACAGGGAACGTTCTATCGAAATATTTAAAAAACAGGGTGTTCCATTTTACTTAACAAAGTTAATATCCGCAGCCATTTTGTTTGGACTTCATTTGTTTTTCGACTATCATTTTCAAAAAATTCATCAAATATCGTGCAACTTTTATATTTCACTTTTTTTATAACTCTTGAAACAGAAAAGTTAAAGGGGGGTCAAAATATAGTGAATCACCCTGTACATAAGAAGTGTTCAGGATCTTAAAAACTCAACACTAAAATATATGTGTGAAATTCCTGAAGTTTTGGCAATAATGTATCTCCGTTTTTCCGTCGGTGCAGTTCTACACGTCACTTGTGCAGTATTGTGTAGAAATTAGAGCAAGATAATAAATTTTTATCTACTTTTGTCGCTGCTGACGAGCGCCTAACTTTGTCATAGTTTTCGGACATTTTATGGTGAACAGCACAATTTACAAAAAAAAAACATAGGGAAGGTTCTTTATGATGTAATTTTTTTGACAGTTGAAATTGCTTAGCAAAAACTCGCTCTCCAACTCAGTAATTTTTACTACCTTGATACTAAGAAAGATTTAGGTAAAAGCGTATATTAAGGTGGCCATATTCCTGGCCGAGAAATAGTGAAATTTCTGGCGTTTTTAGGTACTGAAATCTTGAAAAGTAAAACGTGTAGAACAAAAGTAAGCACAAAAATAAAATCCTCGATGTTTTGTTTATTCATTGTTACCATTTAAATTTACTCAAATAAAATAATAACTAAAAGAAAGCGTTTGTAAAACACGCGTTTGCTGTTATCCTAACCCCACATTTTAAGAATTATTTTCACGTACTTATAAATAAAAGTAAACAATTTTATATGTAGGACTAAGCAAGTAAATGTTATAAGAATATTTACATGTGGAATTATATATAAAAAAAGTTAGTATTTTAGTAGATTTCAGTACCTAAAACCTTGATGGTTTGATCGTTTTTTGCACTTGTTTATTCGTTTTACTGCGGCGTCTTTGAAAATACTCAGGTGGCATGACATGACATTCCTATTATTTGATAAGCTTTAGATTATTCAGTTATTGAATGTTTGAAACTATTTGTCTTTGCGGAAAACACTATTTAAAGAATAACAATAAACTATTTAGACTCTTTTGACAATATCTTCCTTATTATTAGAGATATCGCTATAACGTTAAGGAATGAATAAGAGTGCACACATGTCTTTAACATCGTAAGTTAACACATAATTCCCTATTTTTTATATACTTTTAAATCCATATTTTTACTTCATCAGTTAATTCTGTCATTGTTTCGCCTGCGTATGCATTTAACCTTTCTTGTCTCCTCTTGACCACTTCTGTTAGCAATATGTGTCCCTAAGTATAGACGCGTGAGTGGAAATCGACATCAGGCCTGCAGTTTAAAAATTATTACTATATATAGCCTTCCAACAATAATTTACGGCAGATTTGATCGATTTCCACGTCTAAAATAAAAGCGGCACGCTATTGCAGCTAAATCGTAGCGTGGAAAATTTTACGTAAGCCGATTGTACTTTATTATTGAAATTGGGAAATAATTCGAATAGCAAATCACTTTTAAAATTATTTAATCTCGGATTAGGTTCATTCGATTTGGTAGCAATTTCTCGGTTTAATTTTTTTTGTTTCAAGTGGGAACGGCAACATTCTTTAGATGCCCAAACATAAAAAAAGTAAAACCGATTCATTTACGCAAAGAGATAAACGAACATCTGAAAAAAAAACACTAATTACCGTAATAAAAATCTATGCTCATAAAAATTGGGTTAATGTAAGTAACTAATGAATTGTTATTTTCTGTTTCAGGTTTCAAATTATTCTTCAACATCTATCATTGGTAAGTTTACAAAAACACAATTTTGAAACTTTTGTTACTATTTCTTGAATAGACGATCAAAAAATATCAAAATTTGGTATACCGGGTCACTGATCACGAATCCGAGATCAAATTTACAAAATTCATTTTAAAAAATTTAATCAGTTACCTATGTATTTTATTACCTGAGATTAGGCAGAAAACCCGTGAATAAATCTTATACAGATAAAAGAACAAGATATAGCCGAAAAAAAGAAGGTTAAAACATGATTGCGTACTCAGCTTATAAAGTAAATAAAAATATTACAAAATGAATTTCGCAATTCTCACCTCGAATCCGTGAGTTCGGGACACGGTCGGACGATCATAACCGTCGCGTCGGCCTTTCGCTACAGCGCATCATACGAAACCAGTAATAACGGCAGTTATTGGCTTCGCGTTTACTTCGTGTATATGTGTTTTAATACTCTAATATTGTCGATCATGCCAAGGGGTAAAAAAACACCTTTCGCTGATAAAGTACGAAAATTTATTTATTTTTATTTATACCTATCTGCTTATTTATTTGTTTACAATGAACACGCCTAGCGACGTCACTAGCCGACGAAAACCCCGAGCTCTAGTGATCAGCAAAACCGAAAATCCCCTTGTACCAAATTGGTCGCGAATCTGTTATTTTTTGAAAATTTGGTCGCCCATCTTGGATCCGCCATCATGATTTTTGCAAAATTGACCACATTCTTTGAGGTTAGAAAAAGGATCATCAATTCTGACGCCGGATTTACGTTCGGCGGAGTCTTAACCATATAAATGAACATTTGAATAAAGAAAAAAATATATCTGTATTTTTCCTAGCACTTTTTTCGTGAATTTTTGCTAATTTTGACCTGTTTTTTGAGATTAAGAAATTCCTGTGATGTGATAGCTCAATTCTGACACTAGATTCCATACATTTCTTTCAAAAATGAATATTTGTGAAAATAGAAAAACTATTATTCGCAATTATAAATTAAGAATAAACTTGAATGGAATATTTCTTTTCTAGATGTAACAAAACCTAAACAAATAATTGTAAACTTTATAAAAACAATTTTCCTAAGAAATAAAATTAGGGCACTCAATAAAATATGCTCCTTCATTACTGAAATTTATGCTTTATGAAAATTACGGTCTGGTTTATGAATATAGGGTTTTCATTTTAGTTGGTTCAGACCAAAACGCTGGTACTTTTCTTTATTAGTAAATCTAAATTCTTAGTAAATAATAAATAATGTATTGTCTTTCATGGTTCCACCTATCGAAAATAGTATGAATTGTGTCGGACAAATAACCTAGTTATAAGATGGAACGTTTTCAACATTTCCAAATGTAAAATGTAGGCGCAACTGAGAAATATTCACAGCATGAAGCTGTAGCAAGCATATAAGTAATTTGTTAAAATAATAAATATGTAAAAAATGTTATTAATATTTATTACATTAATGATTTCAGAAATATATTTTGATTAAGAATATAATATGCTAATTTATGTGTAGGGTATAACTAGGGAAAATATTGTATAAAATTACATGTATAAATTCTCAACTTATATGTGTTCCCAGTTATTAATGATTTTAATTAAAAAGTGATTTTAATATAACTGCATTGTGTACAAATTGTTTTATTCTATAAGTTTATTAAATTGAGAAATAGAACGTTACTAAGCGTAATTGGTTTATGTTTCATACTATATATCGGATAAACTATAATTAGCTATCGTTTAGGCACCTTTATTTAAATGCTTCATATTACTTTGCACATCTGTTTCCCGGCTTTCTTAATGCAGTAATAAAATAAAATAAAATTTATCCATGTCTACGTAAAATAATCGAGGCAGTTTTATATAGTTATTATTTGTGTTCGTTCAATTGCTATTAACAAGCTTATTTTTGTTTACAATTGGATCTTACAGTGAACGGTAGACAAATATGTACATCATTATAAAAAGTTCTTCCATTTTTCAAAACGATATACGTGTTTTTTTACTAATTCTTGTGGAGCTGAAATTTATTTCCATTTTTTAAATTTTTGTTTACAATACTTCAAAATACCCAAAGGAGAAAAAAGTAAGAAGTGCCACAAAAATTATAGAAGTTTAAATTAGACCTATTTCTAAAGCTAAAAACACAAAAGAGGTTAGGTTAAAGGTTAAAGTAAAAATAGTAAAGAAACACTTAAATTTTTGTCATATGGATAATCTATAAGAGGGCTATTTGAGCAGTTTCCCAGGAAAGAAATTTAAAGGGAAGTCATCATTCTTGTGGTGTATACTGGATATCAATTATGTATCAACTTGACTGAATAGGAATGCTCCACTTTAGGGCCTTTTTATCTGATATATTTCTTTTTGTCATTATCCTTCTGGTTCTTCTTATACTGGTACTGCTATCAGTGCTACTATCATCGCTTTAGAAATAGCAACAATGGTTTACTTGCGGCACAGATTTTTCAATCTTTCCTTTTAATAGTAGTACCTAACAAACTTATTTATGTCCAACAAGTTTAACAGCGAGATACAGGACATTATTAAAAAGTAATTTAAGTAGTAATTTTATTTATCTTTTATAACTTCGAAATTAAGGTACTGATTATGTATTTCATGGAGTTCTCATAAATATCGCAGTATAATTGCGAGGCACAGTTAAATTTATTGCACATAATAGAAATAGGCGTTGAAATAAGGTAGTTGGTTCTTGGAATAGCAACTGTAAGTATTATGTGTTTTACCTTCTAATGTAAGCACTAAAAACTGCTACTAAATTAAAAGAGTACAGTGAGTTTCATTGTGTTTGTATAAAAATTTGATAATATAAATCGTCTAGTTTCTAGTTGTAGTAAATCAAATCTGTATCGAACTTTCTATGCCATCTATTTTAAAAGAAAGAAAATTAAAAACTTTGTTTCAGTATTGATATGATTGACAAATCGGATATAATATTACCTGCCCGTATTTTAGTTGTTACAATGAAAAATATGGTGATGTATGTATCGGTCTCCAAATTGTTAAAATGTTTGCAATTGCGTACAATAAAACCTTGTTGCTTACATACAAAGTGAAATCTCAAATTTATAACGAGCGTTCAAATAAAAACGTGGTCGAAGTTGGCTCTGACACATTGGACGTAGGGAGTAGCTTATAGCGACCAACTTAACCTCATTTCTCAACGAGCTGTATAGCAGCTGTCAGTTTCAATAACGTTAATGACTATATAACTATATTTTAAATAATAATCGTGATAACAATAACAAACAATTAAAGGAGCTGCGGAAAGTGAAATGAAACCAGGCTTCATCAGAAAAAAAGGTGATATTATGAAGTTCACCGTAGTTGTTTAAAAACCATTCACAAAATACAGCCCGTCGCGGAAAATCAACTTCATGAAGTTCTTGCTGATAAGTTAAACGATAGGAGAACAAACGCAAATCTTGTTTAACACTGTGTGGCAGGTACCGACTGATACTCGCACCATTTGTGATAAAACACGTACAGAAGTTCTTGGCGCATTTTCCATTATTTGTTGGACATTTTCTTTTAATTCTTCAGTCCGCTTTTTAGGTCGGCCGCTTCCTTTTTTTCTTGTTACACTGCCCGTTTCACGAAAAACATTAACACAACGCTGAACTGCACTGAAAAATTTTGTACTCAACAACGCCGGGAAATTGATTTTGAAATTCTATGAAACATTCCTCAATAGAATACTTCCATATTCCATCAATCTTGCGTTCATTTCTAAAGTAGGACTCTATGATAAACACTTTTTGTTCTTGAGAAAACACCATTTTAAACGCTTTTTAAAACGAAAATATTCAAATTGATAGCGGCGATATAGCGCTTTCACAGATGACGTTTAAGTTCATTTGCTATACGCTACGCCCTACGTCCAAATTTTCAGAATCAACTTGACCACGTTTTTATTTGAACGCTCGTTAGTTTCTTTGAAACGCAGAAGCGGAATAGAATTAATTTTGTAATTTTAATTAAATATAGCTTTCTTTCCCGAAAAAGAAACAAATTTGCATTTTGGTGTATACAATTTCATACTATTAAAAGTACACAAATAAATACTTTGAAATACTATAGAATTAGATAATCAACTCGTGAAGCTACATTATTTTAAGACTATTAGCAAAAGGAAACTTTGGAAACTTGTTGCAACGAATAATTGAATAAAAATGTATTACATTCTGACTTGAAATTTTATGTTCAATAAATTGCCATCTGTCTAATAAGTAAAGTCCAAGACTATCAGAAAATCCAATACAAAACAGTCAATTTGAGATCGGAAACTTTTCTAAAGCTCATATACATGATGATCTAAATGTTGCTCTATATGAGGTCTACTCGGAAAATAACCGAACTTTATTTTTTTTTAATTAATTTTATACATTATTGATCCTTGTATCCTCAACTATTCACACACTTTTCCCAGTGGTGTCTGTATTTCGCAAAGCAGACCTAGATAGCTTCATTTGAAATGACCTTTAAAGTCTGTGGCGAATTTGTTTTGACGACATGTCAATAGTCTCAAAATGGTCACTTTTCAGGGCTGATTTTAATTTTGGAAAATGAGTAAAAATCGCAAGGATCCAGACCTGGCGAGTAAGGAGAGTGGAGGAAGACAGTAATAAGATTTTTGGCACAAACACGAATTGCCAAAACTGGGTGTGCAGGTGCAAAATGCACAATTCAATTAAAGTCGAAAAAAGCAGTGAGCATGACTGTTACATTGGATCGAGACCTGTCGTGCTTTCTTGGGGCGTAGAGATCTTTGCCAATCCATTATGGCGATTGAACTTTTGTCTCAATGTCGTAGCCGTAAACCCTACTTTCATCTCCCGTCATTATCCTTTGAATGAATGTTTCATCATCATTGGATTGTTCAAGGTGTTTCAAACATCCACATGGTTTTCTTTCTGTTGTTTGGTCATCAAACGAGGAACAAATTTGGCTGCAACTCGATATAAGTACAATTTTTCAGTAA